GAGAAGGGCCGCGTTATCAGCGGTAAATCTGAGGGATCGAGTCGCGATACGTATGTAAAGGAAATTTCGGCGCGTAGCCGCGCACGATCGACGTTAACCGGCTCGTAGCAATTCCGCGAGTCGCTGTAAAACCGACCTTAATACCGTCATATTTCAGGTCGTAAGAAATTCCATCTACGAGCGCGGCCGCGAGAGAGAAAGAGGAAGATAGATAGATAGATAGATAGATAGAGAGAGAGATAGAGAGAGAGAGAGAGAGAGAGAGAGAGAGAGAGAGAGAGATCTGGTTCTTACAGTTTCGAACCTTAGGTACTCTAACCACCAGCCAGTTCCCCATCGGGCGAAAAGGCAAAGAGAGAGAATAAGAGTACGAAACGGTTCGCAGTAACAACGTGACACTTTTATCGCCGCGAAAGTTAATCGCGCATACCGAAGGACCTCGGCTGATTGAAATGAAAGTGGCATTTAATTTTAATCAGCGTCGCGAGGAAGAGAGAAAGAACAATCGCGCGATAGCGCGTCGTCGAGCGTCCGAGAGTGGCTTCTCGCAGCACGATATCGCGGCGCCACCCTCTTATTCGCATCGATTCGCGGAATAACGAGCCATAAAAGACATCGAATTTTGGGAGCGGAGGTACGTTGGGCTTCGATCGCGACGGGACGAGCGGGCACCTTTCCGTCCGGAGCTTCCGCGGAGCTACGACCCGGCAGCTCGTGCATATATGCACACGCGAGAGCCGCGGATTTGCATTCTAATTGTCGGCCGATCCGACAAACGCGCCATTATGGCTCCACTCGGAATCGTACGAGCCGGCTGGCAGTTGGAGGAGAAGGACGCGAAAGTGAAAGAGAAAAAGCTGGAGGTGGAGGTTCCGCGTCTCGAAACGAGGTGCCAAAGAGTCCTCAGAGCGAACGGGAACGGTCAATAATCGCGAAAATAAGGGCCTCTTTATCTTATCTATCGCGCCGGTCTCGCTTCCGGCGATTCCGATCTCCGATGTGTCCGTAATACGCATAAGTATTCGCGAGAAAATGGGGAACGAAGATACGAGGAGCGTGACGAGCGACGACGGCGCCGGCACCGCCGGCACCGTCGGTCGTTGCCGATCCTACTTATGCCGGATTAAATTCGTCCGTGGCCGGACGAGCATTTTATTCGCGCGGCGATATTCCCCACGAAACCACGCCATATCTATTTCATTAATACAAATTACAATCAGTTCGTTCGTTAGAAGTTCAGACGTGACGGAAGGCGAAGCGAGATAGCAATCGGCCGGGTAACGATCGCGTGGCAATTAATGCTCATTTGCAGAAGTGCAAGAAACGCGCGTGTACGTGCAAAATCGAAACGTCGAGGAGGAAGACGTTCTGTACGAGCGATCGTAAAAAGGAACGGGAGAAGAGGGGAGGGAAGGGAGGTGGCAACATCTTTCGACGGAATTTGAGCACAAGTTTTATCTTATCGACGAGGCATCCCCGAAATCGCCGCGATTACGTCTCGGCGATCCGATCGGTTCGTCGGTGGCGTCCAATAAACATAAAACACCGAATAAACCGTCGTAAAGAGCGACTCGTCCCGAAATTTAATTCCAACCTCTCGCGTCGACTACCGAATTTTTTAATTAACCGCCCATCCGCGCGCATAATTTACCGCCGTGCGCGCGCGCGCGCGCGCGCTCGACGATTCGGCGGCGCGTCGCTCGTGATCGTATTTTTATAAGGACGGACGCGGCGCGCGAGATTAATTTCTTTCCGAGGCGACGCGTCGGCGCGAGATTAATCTCGGGCGGATCGACGAACGCGAACGCGCGTATTAACTTATTAAGTACGCTCCTCCCTCGGCTTTCTCACGTTCGCTCGTCTCACCGCGCCCTGGCTCCGGAAAAGAAGCGCGATGCTCCCCCTCCTCCCTCATCTCGTGTGCGTGAGATATCTCTATAACAGCTCTATAATTGCTCCGATTAAGATGAAGGGGGAAAAGAAGGAAAAATCAATCCAGCGTGCAAAAACGTGCATCAACGACCGCGAACGAGTCGGACGAGTCGGTCATCGGTGCCGCGCGTCGTTCTCTCGGAAAAGGCTCGTTCGATTACGAGCGAGCTGAAACTCGCCCGCCACAACGGAAATCATCGGTCGACGCCGGCGCTGGCGCTTTCTGGTATTCGCGAATACGACGTAATCGGCCGAGTATATAGTCGTTCGTAATCCAACGATCGATGCACGATCGGGACACCGTCCGTCTCACCGAAGCTTCGTGCGCCCATAACGGGCGCTCGTGCCGCGGGCGTTAATGAATACTTAAAGTCACGACCGGTAATTACGCTTTAAACGTCGTAGCTAGATGTCCGACGGCGAATGCAGCTACGTGTATTTCGTGTACACCGCGCGCTGCACGCGCGCACGCGCGCGCGTGCTCGCATCGAAGGACTCACGTGTGTGTTGCTGCTAGGACGAAAGAAAGCGAAGCCGAGGAGAGCGCGATCGAGAATGCACAATGGCGAACATTATGCCAGGAGAGACCGACTGCGTGAGTTAAAAGTTAACTCGAGCTTCCACACTCGACCAGCTCTCTCTCTCTCTCTCTCTCTCTCTCTCTCTCTCTCTCTCTCTCTCTCTCTCTTTCTCTCTCTCTTCGATCTCGATTATCTCTTTCTCCCTCGGTCGTCTCTCACCCTTCCCCCGCGTTTTCTCGTCCATTTCGTCGGCTCGCTCTGCACGTGTATGCTCGCGCGATCGTAAAAAAATGCAACTAATTAACGACCAAAAAGTGAAGCCAGCGAGAAAGTTTTTGCCGCGACCGCGAGAGAAGGTTCGGGCTGTCCGAACCTTCAACTGGAAGTACTTGGCCGTACATCGCGCCTTCTTCTTCGTTTCGCTTCTTCGATAACCATCGACCGGCGGCGGGCAGATCGCCGTTCGAGAACGAACGCATTCTTTCTTTCTCTCTCCCTTCTCCGCGCTTTGTGAAAAAAAAAGAAGAGAAAAGATAAACAAATATAATAATATAATCGAGAATTGAGATAGAACAAGAGAGAGAGAGAGAACCTCAACGTATTCGGTTTCCTTTAATAAATGCGAGATCGCGCCGTTGATTGACGCGTAACGTCACGTGATGACGTTCGCGTATCGTCGGGATCAGCAAATCTGTAAATTTCACGTGGATTTTGCGCGATCGAGAATGATTGACGCTCTAGATCACACACCGTCGCGACGTCAGACGATCTGATTGGCTGGTAATGAAGTATTAATGAGACGACTGTAACGATATCCACCGTTTCGCGGAGATGGATTGCGCGAGATTTTTTCTCCGTCGCCGCTTTAGCATATCTTAGCAGCGCTGAAGGATTAATGACAGATGCATGAACTTGTTAAGGACTACCCCGTGGAAAGAAGATGAGTGCCACCCGTGCGAGATTGTTATTAGCTCTGCGTCGTTTATATCCTTGGTTTCCTATTCTTCGAGATTAACCAACAGAGCGTCGCGTCGTTACCCGGTTTGCCGCTCGGCGAAAAGCAATATAAGGCATTAATATTTATGGGCTCTCGCGAGCATCGGATTTTACCATCTATGCATTAAATACAGCGTTAATGACTACTGGAGTGAGTACGGTGTATAACGAGTGTAAAATGCACGTAACGAGCGCGGCATAATTAATCCGTGCTTACGTCGACAGAGAGCGAGCGAGAAAGAGAAGAAAGGAAGAGATAGAGAGAGAGAGATAGATAGAGAGAGAGAGAGAGAGAGAGAGAGAGAGAGAGAGCGAGCGAGAGAGAGAGGGGGGGGGGGGAGAGAGAGATAATTAGTTGGAGAGGAGATAAGAGTAAATCGGCATTTTCGAAGAGTAAACGTATTCCGAATTAACCGTATACGCATTTAGCCGGCAATGCTCGTTCGCTCTCGCTCGAGTAAAGTGAGCAACTTTGTTCCAAAAGGCAAAAAATGAAACGAGTGAAAAGAAAAGCACGCGACGCATGACGAAGAAGGGATCGTCGTTGTCGGCGCGTTAATGCGGTTAACGACAGATCTCCGAGCAGGCTCGATCTCGTCGTCGTCGTCGTCGTCGAGAACGCGCGCGATCCGCCTCGCCTGCAATCTAATTAATCTAATTAAGCCGAAGCGTCTCGTTACTGCGCGGCGCGCGCGCGCCATACGCACAAGAGGGAATTAAGAGGAAGAAGAAACGCAAGAGAGTGGCCATTGCGCTCGTAACAGATCGGTAACGCAAGATCGTCTCACCGATCCTCCGTCGTTCAAACCGTGTCGCCGACAGCCAACGAGATCCATTAAGAGGATTATTATCGAATCGAGCGATCGAGCGTTCTCTCTCGCTTAAAACCCGACTCAAAGTGTGTTTCTTTTTCTCTCTCTCTCCCTCTCCTCCCTCTCCTCCCAGCGCTGCCTCCACATATCGCGAACGATGTCCGAATTTAATCGCGCTTAATTCATTCGAGCCCGCAGACGACGCGCTTGACGAAATAAAAAGCAACGTGGAATTCGAACGCGCGGATTTGGGGAACAAATTTCTTTTACGATCGCCCGGCGCGAGCTTTCACCGGGGAGCCCGGGCCTCTTAACAGTGAGCATTCTTTTTAATTGCGACGCGTATCGCACGTATGTTCACACGCGCGTGCATACGCGAGCGATCGCACGTTCGCGATCAAGCGGCTCGGTAATCGCCGCGGCTCGCGCGTGAACGTTGCGAGGGAGCGAGAGCCGCGGCGATTACGACGCTTGTTCGTTCGTGTTCGACCGACCGACGCGAGTTTTCTCGCCGAACGAGCGCCGATTACGACGGAGCAATGGCACAGCCCAGAGCCGCTCGTCGCGCGCACGCACGGAGTTACCGGTCTAACCAACTTCCCCGTTAATTACCGATAATTAAGCCGCGTAATAGCGCGGCCGATTTTCGCGATCCGCGAGTTTCTCAATTCCGCCTCGCTTACCCGACGATGCTGCGCTCTCTCTCGGCTACGTAAACCCAGGAGAAAGATCCACTTACCCATGGCATCTGAAACAAACGAAACGTAGGCTAGGCTTTAGTGAACATTGTTCGCGCTGGAGTGAAAATAACGGTCTAATGTTAACCTCTCAGAGAGGCGAAGTTGAGCGCCTGTCGCGCTGCTCGTTAGTCGACTCTGATCTATTTGATCACGACGAAGCTTCGCAGCGGAAAGTGTCGAGTTCGAGTGAGTGAGGAATATCCGCCGAGCGGGGGAGTACCAGCGTGTGGCGGGACACGAATTACGGAGAGATATCTCAGTCGCGCGAGTATCGACGTAATGGACACGGCTTTCGCCTTTCCGCCCCGTCATCGTCCCGAAATTCCACGGAGTGCGCGCGGTTCACGGACTTACCGGTCGCCCGGTAAGAAGCGCGCAAGCCGAATGACTTTATGTGCAGCGCGCGCAAGTAAGTGCTGCTGCGAGCGAGCGAACGAGCGCACGGTTAATTCCGCGCTAATTGCCCGGCGGCGTTAAAGAGCCGTTTCAGCGGGAGGGAAAAAGTCGCTCGGCGCGCGGAGGAGGATCAAGGGCGTGAATGGCGTTCTTCTCGTCGAGAGCTGTGATTTCATGCGACCGCGTGAAGGTTCGAGTGACCGGCGGTGAAGGGGAGGGGGGAGGGGGGGTACGGACTTTGCCTGTCCGGCGGGCGGGAAAGCGACCGCGTCACGTGGATCACGGGCCGATCGGCCGATACAGCCCAGCGCGACGCGTAATTCATATCGTTTTCTATTAAATAAAGAATCGCCCCTCTAATTGCCTCATTGTGAGCGCGCGAGTCACGTAAGGCAGCGCGCGCCGCGATAAATCACACGAGCAAAGACCAGGCCCGACCTGGCGCGGTTCCGAACGAACGAACGAACGAGCGAAACTGAATGAAACCTTGCGAAACAAATGAGCGCGCGTGCTTCGTGCCGCCGCCGATTAATATCCCATTCTTACTAATCGTTCGCCCTGTGACTCGAAAGTATCAGCGCACCGCCGGAGACCTCGCGAGAGAGATGTATAGCCCCCTTGTGCCTCGGGGACGCGACGCAATGCGACGCGGAATCGATGGAGAACGGGCTGAAATCGCGCGCGCGAAAATCGAGAGAGAGAGAGAGAGAGAGAGAGAGCGCCATCAATGTGTAGCCGCACGGCTTTATTTAAACTGGAAGCTCGAGCGGTCACTCATAACTCCTCGAGATAATCTCCGCGTGGGCAAGACAGCCGGCCTCCTCCGGCCACATCTCTCTCTCTCTCTCTCTCCCTTGTATCTACCTTTGTCTATCTTTATTTATTATTCTTAGGCGCGACCGCGTGTGTGTCTCCGCAGAGCGAGAGATAGACTTGATGTTCGCGCGCGCGTACATATATATTGTGTAGCGTAATGTGTAAAAGTAGCATGTGCAACGCGATGGCATACGAGCGCTAAGTATAGGTGAGAAAGCATGGGTGAAGGCATTTTTCGCGCGCGCTCTCCATCCTCTTTCACGGCCGGTGGCTCGATATAAGAGAGAGGAGAGAGAGAGAGAGAGAGAGAGAGAAAATGAGGCGAGTTCGTGGCATGGGCCGACTAACCCATTAGCGCCTCAGCTGCCGATCGACACGGCGAATCGATCGATAAAAGCCGCGCCGGACACTTCCTACCGATAGGAAGGGGCCGTCGTTCCTTTCGCAGCGACCGATCGACCGGAGAGAGAAAAATTACTTTGGAGCCGTGGTTATCGCTAAATGAGCAACGCCAGGCGCGACGTGGAATCTTGTAGCGCATGCGGCGTAAATACGACCGACAATCTATGCCTCAATTCGTGAAGCCGCAAAGCCGCGCTATAAGTCTGCCACGTCAATCTCGAAGGCGCGCCTGGCCGGCGCGGATCGAGGCGGCAAGGCTGGAAAAGTCCACGCGGTAACTAATTAGTCCTCATTACCGCTGCTGGTAATCTTGTACGCGCCTAACAACAACGTTATCTCTCCTTCGAGAATTTGAAAAAGAAAAAAAAAGAAATATATATGTAGCTTCATCGTTTGAGTAATGATGAAACTTGCGGAACTGGGGGAGATAAGTTTAATTGGTTTTTATTAGTGATTCAGAGAGAGTTTTGCGGCGAGCGCTGTCAACGTCTCCTCTATTTCTATCTGTGGGAAGAAAAATAACTCGGTTCAGCTTTAAATAAGACCGAGCTTCTAGAGACGAACGCACGCAGAGACGTACGTAGGTTCAGCTGCTATTCTCGCGGTCCTCGCGAGGATGCCAATAATTCGTCCGTCGTCAAAATAGAAGCGCAGCGGCGGCGGCGATGGGCGGACTGTTGGACGGGTGGGTGGGTGGGTGGTTAAAGTGTAAACGGAGAAATAACTATAAATTAGCGATTACGGGAATTCGACGCGAGTGAGAGAAGAAGATAGAGCGAGAGAGAGAGAGAGAGAGAGACAGCTCGCGCGCGAGCAACAAGGGGTGAAAATTGGCCGCGTATCTGTAAAACGTTACCGGCGAAATACGATAAATGACGCGATGACAACAGCCGGCCACCATAAATTCGGCGATAAACGTTGCCAAAGGCGAATCCTCGGCCGAGCGACGCCGTGCGGAACTGAATCCGCGAGCGTCTCGGACTCAATGTGCCGCCATTTATCGGCGCACGTCGCGCTCTCTCGCCCAAACATCGCCGATCGCGCGAGGACAACGGCCTGTGATGCTCGCTAAACAAACGCGACAATTTCGCGAGACGCTCTTCCGCGAAATGCGACATCAGTGCGCACCGTCGCGTTTCTCTTGCGCGAAATTAATCGCCGCCTTGTGCGCGTCGTATCCTCTCGTGCTCGGCTCGAGACGCGGCCCGCGTCCTAAATAAACGAGCCGGGTGACATAACGCTACTCGGCCGATTAACAGGGTCAATCGTCAGCTGACATCTAGACATTGGTATCGTAGACGAGAAAAAAGTTCAACGACTCGGCCGTGGCTTTCGCTGATGACGGTTCAAGCACCCGTCCAAATTCCCCGCAAAGTCGTGCGCAACGCGAAATAAAATGATGCGCGTTTCCGTCGGCGCGTCCTCGCACGAGTGCACCGCCTCCGCCTCCGCCGCCGTCGTCGTCGTCGTCGTCGTCGTCGTCGCCGTCGTCGTCGTCGTCGTCGTCGTCGTCGTCGTCGTCGCCGTCGTCGTCGTCGTCGTCGCCGTCGTCGTCACGGACAACGTCTCGAAAATAACCGGATTCAGGCGGCGCGGCCTGATTCGTCCGTCCCTGTTTCGCGAGCGTTTGGACGATGAGGCGTAGGGAGCAACAGCCGGCGGCTGAATTTCCGAGATGGTTTCTGCCGATCCGGGCTTAATTTGTAGCACGTTCTTGCGGCCAGGGGCGACGAGGGGTCCATTCGATCCTCGTCTCGTGGCGTTGCCGGGTTAGTTAGCGCGACTCGAGGCGGCTGCCGATGCCCGGCCGCTTCTTGCAGCGCGCGCGCGCGCGCGGCCCATTTTTGCCGCTAAAACATCGTCCCTAATTAATCTCTTCGGTCCCTGGCGAGAGCGCTTGCACGAGGCTAATATGGAACGAACGGTGACAATGGGCCAGAAGCGAGGCCGGAATCCGCCGAATTCGAACACGACGTGGCGAGCGATCGGCCAGAAAAAGCCGCTGCCGAGGCTTAACACCCTGCAAAAGGACGACGACGACGACCACGACGACGACGACGACTGGCCGCTGCTGAGACTCCGCCAGGCCGTAATGGCTATTTGCGCGAGAGCGTACCGAAAACGTGAGAGGCGTACTTAACGTCTCACTCGGTTGCACGCACCGCGAGCCATCCGATCAGCAAGTCGAGCGACGAGGAAAATGAGACAATCAGCACGCGATTCTCCGAGAGATTCCGCGCGTGTTCGAGGAGGCCTGCGAATTTTACGCTTTGCTAGAGAATCCGCGCGAGGAAATAGCGGAACACATTAGACTGGAGAGTGATGTGCTTCACTCTATACAAATCATTTCAGAGAATACGTGAACTCTGGTCAATTTTACGGAATACTCGGTGAACCACAGTCTTGAAAAAAAGGAGAAAAAGTTCAATATGAAGCTTCGTCTTTGCTCGCGGGGGGATTTGCGCAAACTTTCTCACGAGTGTCCGTTGCGATGAGCCTCGGTCGCAAAAATTAACATCGACGGTAATAGCCGACGAGAGACGACGAGTCCGGTCTGGAATCCGTCGAATTCATCGATGGCGACGGTCGAACGCGAGAAAAAGACGCCCAACGCCGTAACGACGACGCCGTTGCGACAAGGACGATGACGACGACGACGACGACGACGACGACGACGACGACGACGACGGGAAGAAGAAGGGCGAGGTCCGCTAATGGGAATTTGCGAGACGGCCGTGACACTCTCCGGAAATGTACGGGATGCACTTAACGTCTCACTCGAATGTGTAGACTCAAAAAGCGCACGCCAGCGGGGAACTGGTTCGCAGGTGGCATCGTAAGTTCAAGTCGGCGGCGGGGGGGGGGAGGGGGGGACGGTGACGGCAGCTTCGAAAGAGCGGGCGAGGACGCACGGTTAATTGGGATAATCGGCACAGTAAATCCGTCGAACGAGCTCCACGCTCTCTCGGCCATAGTGTCTCTATCGCGGCGGCCGCTTCGTCTCGCGGAATGCCGCGGCGCGAAAAAAGCGCCGCCGGATGCATAATCTCGCCGGAAGAAACGTCGCGTTTTCGAGCCCGTGGCGCGGCAAGCCTTAATTTGCGCGAGACGTTTGACATTTCCAGTCAAAGGATTAAATTAGCGCTGCGTCCTCTTCGACCGGCACTCTTCGGTCACCGTCAAGAAGAACACACTGTCGTTCACGCTTCATTTACGCGCAAAAAAATCCCTCCGTGTCTTTAATAAATTTCCAATAGCGAATAGTGTTTCCGAAGACGCTCGTGATTTCGTTTCTCAACTAAAGGCTAAAGTTATTTCGGACTGTAATCACTTTAAAATCCATCAACGAGCCGCGTTTCCTCGGGAGAAAGGAAAGGGGACAGAGAGACGTATA